GGAGGTCATGTTGGGCCTCCCCTCGCTAGATATAATGGCGAGGAAAGAGGTTTACATGGGAGCCTCAAGAATACTGCAGGAAGAGGGCTTTGTCGGCCACAAGGGTATTATAAAGAAATGCATAGGTGTGATCACAAAGCCAGTTGACCACATACAATACAGGTACGAATTGGAACAGTCCTTCAAAGTGACTATTGATAACCGCAAGGGAGAGCTTATCGTACAAAACAGAAAAAATGCTGCTGGAAGCTGACACAAACACTAGATCTCAGGGAACAAAAAAGAGCAGAATCATACAGACAGAGATGCAAAACGTGCAGATCAATGACAAAGGAATTAAGAGAAGTACAAATTGAGGACATAAACATTTGCCAAAAATGAGATGAAGCACAGTAAAAAAACTGGCCAAAAGACGGGTACAAAAACACAGACATTGTGATTGGCAACCTATTAAAAACCAACATTGAAACTGTCAATGTGGTACCTATTGAACCAAATGACCTCAGCATATATATGATATGGCTTCTAGGCAATGTTTTAGACAAGGATGCCCGGGATCGAGGAACTTGGAAACGATTTTGAGGTATTGGAGCAAACAACAAAGATCAAAGTAAACGAGCAGCACACTGAAACCACACAAAAAGCAATCAAAATAACCCTGGGGCTTACAAACGAAGCTAGTAAGTCTCAGGCATGAGACTCTAAATAACTAAGTGGTCTCTTTAAACCATGTGTAACGAATGACGCTAAGGAATTCACTCCTTATGTGAAGGTCAATGATTTTCTCCATAGTTTTCAAAAGAAACGAGGTTAAGCTAATTGGTCTGAATGACTTAGGCTGTTCTGTAGAGCGCCTACCGGCCTTTGGAATGAAGACCACATACATCCCGCCAACTGATGGGAATGTAGCCTAATTGGTAGCTAGCTCTGAACATTTTTGGAAGGTGTGGTGCTAGTTCTCCCTAACCCTGTTGCAAGAGGGCCGGAAAGATCCTATCTCCACATGGTAATTTGTAGGGCTGGCACCTATGTATAGCCCATTTATTCTTATTTAAAGTGAATATCCTTCTAGGATTTCAGCGCGGTTGGTCAGTCGCGGAGCGCCTCTTACCACCACAGCCCTTTTTCCATCAAGTTTCCACTCGATAGACCCTGGGAAGTGTATTTGCAGATTGCAGAAGCAATTTTATACTATCTAGTCTATTTTCGGTGTAGCTACCATCAGATCTCTGAAGGAGCCCGGTACCTTCTGTTTGAGTGATCTTTTGCTAGGATAGGCAGCATTATTATCTGAGGGATATCCGTCATCTCTTCGCAGAATCGCCTCCAGGATTCTCTTTGAAATCTTCTCAATTCATTGTTGTATTTTGTTAGAGCTTTTTTGTATTCGCAACATTACAACTGATGTTCTCATAATATGTTGTAATTATAATACATTAATATAAACAGTGCGAAAAATACCTATGGAATAACCAAAATGGTCGCTCGGCATTCCTACGCGCGCCTCTAACGATTTCTGGGCATCTTGTATTGGGAGGTAGGTATGTGGACAAATCGACATGTCATGCAGCAGCGCACTATTTGCCATTGCGTGCGTTCCAGGCCAATGATTAGAAGTATGTTGCCGAAAAGCAACAATATGCATCTAAGGGTTGGGATCCATGTTTCCATGGTTCTTGAATAAGGGCGTTGTTCGTGAGTAAATCTGCAGTTGAGCATATTGGATGCAGCTTTTGCGTGATGCCGATTTATTTGGACGACCTTGCAAAGAGCCACTACTTACTCCTCATCTTTAGGCCCTTCAGGTTTTTTCGCCCCCTTTTTTAAGGGCTTCTTCCCTATTGGGGTTTTACCCTTTGCTTGGGGAGTGATAAGATTGCTCGCTCCAGTGCTTGGGGAGGGACAAGATTGCTAGCTACAACACGCGCTGAGGTCGCTGGAGCGGAGGTGGCAGGCTTGGTAGGGCCTATGACCCTCGTACCCGAGACCGCCGCGACAGAGCCAGGCTTTGAAGCTTTTCCTGTCTTGCCTGATGGGGCCTTCTTCTGGGGCCTTCCGCTTGGTCGTCTCAGAATCAGTTTACTGAAGCTTCGGCGACCTCAAAATTAGTCCCTTTCAGGTGTGCGTAGGACCCTTGGTTAAAAGGGCGGAGGATTCTGTATTTAGCCCATTATTTTGGTTTTTTGCATAAGCAAAATGGAAACAAAGACAAGAAGTATCCGAAGGCTACAATATGCTGCGCTTGTTGAATTATTACCCTCGGAGGTTCTCCGATATGGGAATCAACACCCGACAATAGTTCAACCAGGTACAGAAAAAAAACAGACTAGAAGCTCTTGGAAGTTTTCAAGAACTTGAAACCGATATCCGCCGTTTGGCTAGCCCGAAGCAGCAGCAGAAATATGAGAAGAAATAGCGCCCGGAACGGAAAAGAAATGTTCACTTTCCCAACAGCGCGGGGTTATTCTTGGCTACGTAGTTTCACTTTTCGGTCGATGCTCTTCCTATTGATCGGATGATCAGATCTGACGTTGATGAACCTGTGTTTATTATTATACCCGGAGTTGCGGCCAATAAAGCCTGTATTGGGCTCTTCCTCTGTTCTTGTTCTCGGAAAGGAATGGTGTTTGTTCGGGGAATTGGTAACTAGATTATATAGTTTCTGCCCTTTTTTTATGTTAAAGTTGTTGTAGTATTTTTGAATTTCTATGGATACTCTGTGGGTTCTTGTGTAAGGTAAAGATGTTTGGTTTTGGTTTTATCCAATGCTTGAGGGTGATCGAAACGAATGACATTGTCTTTTCGTGTGAGCAAGTGTTCCGCGATTGTTGACGTTGACTTTTCCGTTTGTTCTTGCTGGTAATTTCTTTTTTGCTCCTCTATTATACTAGCAGGTTTGGTTGTTCCTCTATATACATGACTATTTCAAAAGGTGCCGTAGGATTCTGGCCATTTCTATAATTTGCTGAATGGTGTCGTACATTGGCTCAACGCTGTGTATTCGTCCTATTCGAGAAGTCACGTTTAAAATGGAGAGAAGAAAGGTTTTTGCTGTCACCTGTGCTTGTTCCTTGACTTGCCGCATTGCTGTTCATATTTCTTGCTTTGAGTAGACATTTCCTGATGATATCTGAGTTCAGAAATCTTTCTAGGTTCAGCTTCCTTCCATAGAGAAAAATATGGTATCATCGTTACCAAAAGTAACTGGGACAGCATTATATTAGCTTTATATACCGGGTGTCCCACCGGAAACTCTCAATGGCTTATATCTTGAAAATGATAATCGATTAAAAAAAATGAAAAAACCGTTTGGAGAGTTGGAAGGGGGAACCAAAACAAGGTACTTTTCAGCTCTCTCCGAATCACCCCTGCGGCGGAAGCCACCCTAACCTCAAAATCTTAAATGGCACTATAGGTCATTCTAATTTTGATTAAAATCTTATTTGATCGGCTGAAACAGGTAATTGTGATTTTAAATTGTTTATCATGAATAATTTTAAAGAAATCATGAAGATTTTGTTTTCTTGAACCCCTTTCCCCTCACTGTACCTGAAGGTGTTCACCTCCTCAAGAGCGCAAAGGTGTTACCTCGAAGCACGAGATATTTCGTGAGAATTTAAATTTGTATCTAGATGAATTTTTCTTCACAGATTCGTTTAGAGAATCGAAAAACCTTTCAAACAAGGTATCACATGACCTATATTGTCATTTAAGATTTTGAGATAAGGGTGGCTACCGCCGCAGGGTGGTTTGGGGAGAGCTGAAACATACCTTGTTTTGGTTTCCCTTTCCAACCCTCCAAACGGGTTTTTCATTTTTTTTTTAAATCGAATACCCTTTTTAAGGTTCAGGCCATTGACAGTTTTCGGTGGAACACCCGGTACCTATTATCCGTCGTTTTAAATCTGACACTTTCCGTATGAGGAGCGAGGGGGTAAAGCTTATGGCAGAAACAGGTGTGACGTCAGGTGACCATTGGCGTTTTAATGTAGGGAGCCACCAGCTCACAATTTTTTGGAGTATCAGATTAAAATCGACAGACTTTGTGCTTTATATGAATTTGAGTGTCAGATATTTGTGAAACAATTAATTAAATGCATTGAAATGAATGATGGTAGAATTAGTCCAGGAGATTAATATAAGTTATTTTTGTCCCAGATACTTTTGGTGGTAGGTACCTAATATTTACTAAAAGTATCCGATGTCTACTTATCCGCCACTTTAAATTTGTTCGTTCTTCTCAGTAAGTTTCTGTTGTGGCTTTGACTACTGGTCGACTGTTCTGGAATAATTTGGCGATACTGTCTTTTTTCATCGTTCTTCCTTTTTTCTTTTCATCCATCTGTCCTTTTCTTCATGTTTTTTTTTGCAACCTGCCTTTTTCTTGGTTTTCTTTTTTCTTTTCCTCTTCCGCATCTTCCAGTAAATTGAGCACCTTCTTTATTTGGTCTTCCATTTCAGAGTGTTTTATTCTACACAACTTCCGACTCTGCTCAACAACTTGCTTTCAGCTCGCATCTTCATACATCAAAAACTTCAAAAGCTACCGGAATCGTTTTAGCCTTATTTTATAGAGCATTATCTTCTATTTCATCATAGAACAAATCGGTACCTGTTAAAACTTATCGATGTTTTTTCGAATACAATTGGCAAAATTAAATTTTGCGTGTTTTCTATGGAAAGATGTTAAGTCCAATTTGCTTTCTGAAATTAGTGTATATCTTCCAAACAATCAGAAACTGCGTTAACAATTATATCAACGATTATTTATTAATTTTATTAATATGCGTTGTTTTACCAAATACCGTCTTAATTTGATACAGACAAAAATTTGAAAACCCTGAACAAACCCACTCACGTTCGTAAGAATACCTACCTATACACCAACCTGTTGCCGTTGTACGCACCTTAGAATTTAAGAATTGCGGAAAAAAGGCACCACCTCCACCACTGGGTTTGTTATGATAATGACCCCAGTTGTTCGCGACTATTTTGTTATTAAGAATTAACGCATTTTCCTTGTTGTCTTCGAAGGTCACAAATTGATCTATATAAACTAGGGTGTATCGGGGAATGAGTTATAGTTTGTCTTTTAGTTTCTAACTTAAATAACTATGAAATATCTGGTAAGTGCATGGCGCTTTCATGCGCTTCATAGGTACAACAAAGGCATTTTAGATTCAATTTTTTTAATATATTAAATTCTTTGTCATTTATCTTTTCATTAGTCTATAGCCCAAAATAAATCGTTACATTTGTGAAATTGTCTGTAAAGTATTAATAGATTATCAGGACTTTTCTTACAATTTTGTTTTTGAAAATGTTGGGTTTAACATTAACAATAATGAATTTTATCAGAATTTTTATTAAAGTCAGTTAACTTTCGACAAAACTAATATCTATATGATCCAAAATACATTTCCATAAATAGTACATATTAAGTAGGTACCTAACTTTATCATAGGTATTAAGTTTAGGCTAACTTCAAATTGCAACGCGCAGTATCAGATAAAACAAGTATAAGTACATAACAATATTTTGAATTTTAGCTTGCAACTTTGGCCCTCTGCGCATCAGCTTACGCTGGAGGTATTATCCTCAAAGGCCCATCTGGAATCATTACCCCAAATGGCCCAATTGGTCCTGATGGAAGAGGTGCCGGAAATGTAGGTGGATGGGGTGGTAATGGAGGCTGGAACGGCGGGTAAGAATTTTCATGTATTGGAAAATTCTTTTCAAGTTTTCTCTTTATTGAATTATTTTCAAGTATGTTTAACTAAACCAAAAGCCTTGTTAAAACAGATGCAATTTTATACAGTAAACTGATTTTATTACATGCACTCCTCACTTAAATTAAACCATAGCTTGTGACTGGATTATTTATTAAGAGTAAATGATGGTTTCAGATGGGGTGGTGATGATGGCCAATGGAGAGGAGGAAACGGTGGAAACCAAATCATCTTGAAAGGTAATTTTCTTCTATAGGCGTGGCAAATGTAGCCACTTCTAATACTTAGCTGAATTTGGAAAAACTCTTTCATGAGCCCTTCATCTGACGTTTGCAGAAACCAAAATTGTTTAATCAAGCACCAAGATAAATAGCATTAAATGTATGCTATGCAAATGCGAGAAGCTAGTGCTGAATTTATAAACTATGAAATTTTATTGATTTGTATTCAAATAGTAGGTAGATAATTTCACTATGAACAGTGCCTGCATTCACAGCTCTACAAATGCAGTCTTCTGCAAATAAATACTTCTTTTCGCACAAACTATATTGTCCTCAATCCTCAAACAAAAACCTTAATTTCAGGACCCTCAGGAGCTATCACTCCCAACGGACCCATTGGACCCTCTGCTCTAGGTCTTGGCGCTGGTGCTGGTGCCGGCATTGGAGGTTGGGGTGGTGATGACGGTCAATGGCGCGGAGACGGTGGTGCCTGGAACAACGGAGGATGGGGCGGAAATGGTGACGATGGTCAATGGCACGGTGACAATGGTAATTTTTCTACAGCTAAATTTCAAATGCATTATTCAATTCCAATTTTATTTATAGGTGCATGGAACGGTGGTTGGGGAGGTGAAGACGATGGCCAATGGCGCGGTGACAACGGTGCCTGGAACGGTGATGATGGTGATGACGGTTCCTGGAGAGGCGATGGAGGTAATTATCAAAACATTAAATGACCTTGCTAATCAATTCAAATTAAGTTGTATCATTTTTCCGATTACTAATTATTGCACTCCTTATATTTTCCAGGTTGGGGTGGTCATGGACAATGGTGAGGGTCTCGCTACCAGCCAGAATTACATAGTTTAGTGTAAATAAATTTAGTTAGCTAAAAGACAATGTAACTATCTTTCCTTTTTTTTGTAAATACCTACATCTTTTTCTTGTCACAAATAAAACCTTTTAAATAAAATAATTGTTTGACTTCCATTTTTGTGCCACTAATTGAAGTGTTTTAGTGACACCCTCACCAAAAGTCAATTCAAAATAACTCATTTCAATTTAAACCATTTTTAGCTGCCAGAATAGTTGGTGCTAGGATAGCCGATTCAAGAATAATCCGAGCAAGAAATCTTGTAACAATCAGTCGAATATTTCCATCTAGGGCAATTATAGAAAATCAACAAATATCTGGATATGTTTCCAGAGTAACTAATGTATTGCCGCAAAGATATATAATTCAAGACGGCAGCATCCATTTGGATATACCTCCTATCACCAAAAGCTGGTACTAGACATTGTACCTAATTTAAAGTTAAATTGCTTAATGTTTTGTACATAGTACTAATTCTATTGTCACTTATTAGGTTACCAAACTGCACTTTATTGTTATCGTTTCTACACAAGATCGTTAAATAAAATATCCACCAAAAAAATTTCCTATTATTCCAAGCCGATTTAACAATGGCTCATTCCGCTAGCTTGTTACGTAACTTTTGATTTGCTATTTTCAAGTTAGTTGCTACTTGAAAGTAAAAATATGGATTTTCAAGCAAAATATATCTCTTTAATCTTAGTAACCAGCAAGCCATCTAATTTTTTAAATTTTCACATGAAAAATTAAGAAAATTTTCATTTCTACCACCCCTTCTTAGGTGTGGCGTCGAGAATTTCTTTGGAATTAACGGAAAAGCAGTTGCATTGACCAGACCACTGTGACTTTAATAACCTTAGCATTGAACTAACTGATGCAATTATTGCCGTGTTTACCTAACAATTAAATAGTTTTCGCATTGCAGATTTGTGTTCTGAACGATATTGTTGAGAAAGTTTCGCTTTTTTTTGAAACAAGTAATTGTCAATTATTTCTTCCGGGCCACGTTGATGATGAGCCCGGAAAGATCACCATCAAGGTTCAGAGAAATTAGAGAAAGGAAATGGGAAGAGCGCGTTCTCCACTACTGGAACAGTTTTAGAGACAACAAGAAACAAGAAACTGTTAGCAGTAGTTAGAGCAGTGGATTACTTCTACAAGTAACTTGCAACAGTACAATTTTCCAATCAAATATCGATCTGGTAAACTGTGCAAAAACGCAGCAAGCAACAACCTAGCCGAAGACAACATCGACCATCGACCACAAATTATCTGATGGTGCCCTTGGTTGGGAAATACACGGAAAAACTGTATAAATTCTGTTGAAAAACCGAATCAACTGCCTCGGAACAGGACCGAAAACGGAGACCAACTAGGCAACGCAAATGGACAAGTATTGGTACATGGAATGATCAAGGAATTTCTAGGAAGAACAGGGCTCAGAAAACCTGGAGAGTTCGATCATTTGTTCAGAGGATTTCAAAGAGAATTAAGAGCAAAGAGAAGGGTCTCGATTATCATACATAGAAAACGGAGAAAACATAGGTATAAAATTATGGGAATTAATAAACAAAATAATCAAATTTAATGTATGTATGTTTGCAAGGAAAATAACAATTTCGGGAATACACGGAGTGAACGATAATGAGCCCGTGAGGCTCTGTAATGAAACAGCGCTGCACAAAAAAGCGCTGTAACAAAAGAGCGCTGTAACAAAAGAGCGCTGTAACAAAAGAGCGATGCACAAAAGAGCGCTGTAACAAAAGAGCGCCTTAATGAACATTTGCTCTTTTATCAGCAACATTTAACGATTTTTTAAATATAACACCTTGGAATTGAAATTATTTTTAAGTTCTCGATTGCTCGTCAAATCTCAAAGAGAAGATCCTCGGAAACGTAAATCCACCAAAAACGTGAATAGTTATTTTCCTAACAAGTGCGCAAAGTGGTACTTGTAGCGGAGTTCGGATAAGTGTTTGCGTGCGGAAACGACACTTTGCGCACGTGTTAGGAACAAAATTTTTCCTACGAGCTTCATATCCAGGTAGGTAACAACAAATTATTTGCGTGGGTTCGAACCCCACACCTGACACCATGTATAAGTTGGAATGAAAGAAATGAGACTCTAGAACTGATGCAGTATAAATCTATCCAAGAACTGCAAAACAATGGCATTATTGTTCAACATTGTCATGCCGACACAAGGCCAAGGCTATTAGCTTGTGTGCACTTGACAAGGCTGACAAATAACATTTTAAAAATAAAGACATAATAATATTTTTCTAATTTTGACATTTAAAGTGACACTTTTCAAAACTCTTTGACGTTATCAAATGTCTTACTTTTCATCACCAGTTACGAAAAGTAAAATTTTTCGCAACTGGTGATGAAAAGTAAATTTGACCATCAGTTGCGAAAAATACAGAAATGAAAGTTGTGATAATTTTAACGCTAAACTACTTGAAGTATTGTTATTATATTCTTCGTAGGTACATATGGAAATTTAATTTGACCATGAACTAAATTTGTAATAGGGCCAAATCATATTTACTTTTTGACTTCTTAGGAATAATTTATTGTAGATAAAGCAGATTGAGCCGACTCCTCAATGTCACTCGGTACGAATCTGATAATAATTATTTTTTCACTCTAGTTTGAGTGGTTTATATAAGAACAATATTAATTAAATTTTTTTACTTTTTCAAGAATTAGAGACGCAAACTTGACACTTCTATACTTGACACTATTGCTTCTGTAACAACGAAAAACGAAATACTTAACAAATAAACATCTCTGAACTTGAACTTCGTTGACCAGTCAGAAACAACTACTCCGAGGGCAAATACCCCTACCGGCGTTGAATTACAATGATTGGTCTGAGCTTTCGTTGGCAATGAAAATTGTTAGAAAGTTTTTACAGGTAATGACCAACGTGAATTCAGGGACACAACGGTCCCTGTTTGGGAATCGACCCACTGAGCAGTGGACTCAGGCTTCCCGTGCCAATCCTTGACGCGTTTCGTCCTTGTTAGGACTCATCAGAAGGACATAGGCTGAAGCTCCCTGTCCAAGCAAAATTGAACTTCGTTGACCAGTCAGAAACAACTACTCCGAGGGCAAATACCCCTACCGGCGTTGAACTACACTGATTGGTCTGAGCTTTCGTTGGCAATGAAAATTGTTAGAAAGTTTTTACAGGTAATGACCAACGTGAATTCAGGGACACAACGGTCCCTGTTTGGGAATCGACCCACTGAGCAGTGGACTCAGGCTTCCCGTGCCAATCCTTGACGCGTTTCGTCCTTGTTAGGACTCATCAGAAGGACATAGGCTGAAGCTCCCTGTCCAAGCAAAATTGAACTTCGTTGACCAGTCAGAAACAACTACTCCGAGGGCAAATACCCCTACCGGCGTTGAACTACACTGATTGGTCTGAGCTTTCGTTGGCAAAGAAAATTGTTAGAAAGTTTTTACAGGTAATGACCAACGTGAATTCAGGGACACAACGGTCCCTGAACTTCGTTGACCAATCAGAAACAACTACTCCGAGGGCAAAAACCCCTACCGGCATTGAACTACACTGATTGGTCTGAGCTTTCGTTGGCAATGAAAATTGTTTGAAAGTTTTTTCAGGTAATGACCAACGTGCAAATCAGGGACAAGAGTCCCTGTTTGGGAATCGACCCACTGAGTAGTGGACCCCGCATTCCCATGCCAATCCTTGCCAATCCTTGACGCGTTTCGTCCTTGTTAGGACTCATCAGAAGGACATAGGCTGAAGCTCCCTGTCCAAGCAAAATTGAACTTCGTTGACCAGTCAGAAACAACTACTCCGAGGGCAAATACCCCTACCGGCGTTGAACTACACTGATTGGTCTGAGCTTTCGTTGGCAAAGAAAATTGTTAGAAAGTTTTTACAGGTAATGACCAACGTCAATTCAGGGACACAACGGTCCCTGAACTTCGTTGACCAATCAGAAACAACTACTCCGAGGGCAAAAACCCCTACCGGCATTGAACTACACTGATTGGTCTGAGCTTTCGTTGGCAATGAAAATTGTTTGAAAGTTTTTTCAGGTAATGACCAACGTGCAAGTCAGGGACAAAACGCGTCAAGGATTGGCAAGGATTGGCACGGGAATGCGGGGTCCACTACTCAGTGGGTCGATTCCCAAACAGGGACTCTTGTCCCTGATTTGCACGTTGGTCATTACCTGAAAAAACTTTCAAACAATTTTCATTGCCAACGAAAGCTCAGACCAATCAGTGTAGTTCAATGCCGGTAGGGGTTTTTGCCCTCGGAGTAGTTGTTTCTGATTGGTCAACGAAGTTCAATTTTGCTTGAACAGGGAGCTTCAGCCTATGTCCTTCTGATGAGTCCTAACAAGGACGAAACGCGTCAAGGATTGGCACGGGAAGCCTGAGTCCACTGCTCAGTGGGTCGATTCCCAAACAGGGACCGTTGTGTCCCTGAATTCACGTTGGTCATTACCTGTAAAAATTTTCTAATAATCTCTGAACTTACCTGACGCTTGACAATTAGACATAATCATTCGAAGTATGTTTTTTAAATTTTCAACTTGAATTAAACAAAATCACATGGTCAAAATTAGAAAAAAATTTGTGTGAAACACGTTGGGAAACACTATTTTTCGTAACTCTCTTCCTTTTGCGGAACTCGCTTTGCTCGTTCCGCAGAAATCAGTTCGTTACGAAAAATAGTGCTTTTCCCAACTGGTTGCACAAATAACTAATGTCTACAAGACAAAACTTATTCTAATATCACACATGTTTATTATTTTTAATTAACTTAAAGAGAACGTATTCATCAAAAAATTACTTTAAAAAAAAAAACCTGACAGAAAATCCTCGTCAGCGTCCAGAGCTGTTCATCTTAAAGCATTTAAATTTGATTAGAAAGAAGGAAGTTTGTAGATTCTTGTATATAAATGGAGAACAAATCTGACAATGTGTCAAAGTTAATTATATTCGGTGTTTGTATAGATGTTGGCTGAACAGAAACAGAGGAGAAGGACCCCGCACAAATCTTATGTAAATCCGGTCTCCGTATTTTGTATTGTGTAGCCATTCCCCTCGCCTTCG